GCAGGAAATGAGCCCTTGGGGGGGTGGGGGTGGAAATGAACTATCTTTCCTTCTTAAAGCTGCCTTTGTCAGCACCTTCCTGTGCCCCTCTCTGTGCCATCCTCACAGCAGAGCCCCGGGACTCTGAGATGACTCCAAACCCCGCGTGGCTCTGGGTTTCCAGAAGCAGGTGCCGATCGGGGAGAGGAGGGTGGTTCGGGGCCTGTGTCTGACGGGTGGTAGGCCCGTGGGGAGGGCCAGGCAGAGAGGTGGGGGCCCTGCAGGAGAAGTCACATGCCATCAGAAGTGCTTAGAGATCCCAGGAGCTTCTGGGTGACGATGATGCAGCTATGTGCATATTAACAGAGTGGCCATTAATATTGATGACAATAATAAACAAGAGTGAGGATTATTTTTAAAGAGGGCCGCTGCTCCAGCTGTTGCCTCCCTTCATTAAGAGGCTTCTGAGGTTCTCAGCCTTCCTCTTCCCAGACCTCGTGCAAGACTCAGTGGCATGCCCGTGGCTTCAGGGACTGAGCCAAAAGGGCATCTCTACACACTTTGGATTGGACGAGAACCAACGCAGGAAACCCGAGCATCCGTCCCAGGTTCTCTGGGCCACGTGAAGGGTGGGGGGGCAAGACCAGATGAATCAGCTTGTGTATGGCCGGCCAGCTGGGAAGACTCTGCTTCTGACCCTTGCAGGCGGCAGGCCGCCACCCTCTACAACCCCAGAGGGGCGCGGGCAGGGGGCTTGCAAGGGGCCGGTCTCCTGCAAAGGTGGCTGGAGGAATTACCCTGCTAAAGTGGTCATGAATTATAGAAAGGAAGAGGGGGGAGGAAAGCCCCAAATATCATATGTGTAAATAAACCAGAGTGGCGGCCAGACATGCAAAGCCAGCCACCAGGCTCTTGTACCCACAGCGCCCCTTCTCTTCGCCGACCCACTCGTGCCAAGTACCACAGCGAGTCGCTTACCACCTCCTTCTTCAAAGGGTTTGTTAATAAGTCAATGACGGAACATCTAAAGGGGAAAAATATTTCTCTTTATAGTTAGAGATAATTGTCCCAGGAAAAAAAAAAACAACAAACCTTTAATTACAACTCACATGGAGAAAGCTTGATTTGTGGGCAGAGCCCAAATGCTGAGGAGCTGGATGTAAAATATTTGTAATATTTAGGGAACCTAGAGTTTTACATAAAAGTAAACAGCATTGCCTGAAGGCACAATTTCCAGCAACACAATAAAATGTGCAGTGAATTTATGGCGGCCATCCATTAGCTCTTACCAAGGCAACGTCGGCCCTATCTGTCGTCCATCATTATAATAGAGGGTTAATGCACCGAATTTACATAAAAAAGTCATATTGTCTGCATGAATTATTTACACTCGAAGCTGTTTTTACAGCTTGGTTTCAAGCTGGATTCTGGGAGAGATTTTGCCAGTAAATTACTCTGTGGAGACCTGGTTCTATAACTGTACGCAGAGCCAGCAATGAAAAGAAAGGAAAATGGGCAGGCCCTGGCGGGTCGTTGGTGCTGACGCCCCTCGGGGGGTGGGGGGGCCTGCAGGCGGCGGAGGCTTCGGGAGGCTGTTGGACCTTGCTGCAGATGGGGCTCGGTTTCTGGGCCCCGGGGTGTCACAGTGGCTGCCCAGCTGCCCACGTGGCCAGAGCCACTATGGGGTCCCCCCCGCCCCGGGGGAGCATGGTGATCCTTCAGAGGCGGCCCACCCAGGGCTCTTGGTGGCTGAAGTCAGAGGGTCCCGGAGAGGAAGCGGAGCCACTGTGTGTTAGGTGCAGGGGCCTGGTTCAGCAGTGTGAGCAAGACCCAGGGTCCCCATTGCATAGATGGGAAGACCGAGACCTCGCAAGGCACCGACTCGGGAAGCAGGAGGCCCATCCATTCCAGGTGGGCCCAGGGAACGTGGGGCTTGCAGACACTTCAGACGGGGTGGGGGGCAGAGGCGGGTGGTGATGGGGCGTCCGTGGGATGACACGCAGCGGCCCCATGCCTCCCATCCCCACTCTTACGTTTTCTACCACTTTTCATGAGTTGAAGGCAGTTTCAGTGCTTGGTCTGGGGATGAGCCATCTTCGGCACCGAGTTCTTGAATCCTCTTCGCTTTAGAGTTTGGGGCACTGGGGAAGAGCTGCTCACGCTTCCAGGTGGTGTGGAGTTAGGGCAGGCCGGCCACACAATGGGAACACACCTGGAGTTTTCATTCCAGGCCTGCTGTGTGGTGTTGGGCGAGCCTCCCAGTTTCTGGGGGGTCAGTGTCCTCTTCTGTACAATGGGATTCCCAGTCCCGGCTCGCTCGGCCCATCCCCCAAGGGACGAGAGGCTCGAATGGGATGACACGTTCTGGGAGGCATGTGATGTGTCGCAAGCACGGCCACGGGTGACAGCGCTCAGCAGAGGGAAGCCTTGACATCAGAGCCGACACAGGGCCTGGAGGGGTGCAAGACGGGCCGGTGGAGGGGGAGGCCCGGGCGGTCAGACCCAAAGAGATGAGGAGAGACAAAGAGCAATCACCCAAAAAACAAAGAGCGAGGGGTCGAGATGGAGACGGGGAAGGGTGCCGACCCAGGTTGGAGAGAATGAGGCAAACTGCCTCCGGTCCGACTTCCTGGAGCCCCGACGGTGTTTTCCGGGCCAGTGGAGACGTTGGCAGGGTGGGGGCTGCCCTGGGGCCAGTCCTACCCTTTGCCTGGACCCTCTGTCCACCCAAGCCCCAGAAGGGCCCGGGCTTCTCTCAGGCCTGGAGATTCCTGCCTGGTCTCTGCTTTTCTGTAGCCTGGAGAAGCCTGAGCCGGATGGATGCCAGCCCCCCACCCCCCCCACCCCCAACACCTGGGACAGGCAGGGGCTCCTGGCCGCTGCACTCCGGTCTCCCGCTCCTGGAGCAGCCACAGCAGGTCCCAAGGGCCTGGAGACAACAAATGACTCCCTGCTGACGGGTTGCTCGCCGGCTCCTGCCTGCCAGCCCGTTGCGCTGCACGCCGCACGCAGATAATCATGTAAGGCAGGGGAACCCCTCCTGCCCGTGCTGGTGTGATTTAAACCTGAACTTTGCTTTGCTTTCATCCCCCGGAGGAGCGAGGTTTGGATGATGGATTTCTCTGTCTTCCTGGGAGCGTGCACACGCATGTGCATAGACGTGCACCTGCACATACTTAAAAAGGTGCTCGCACACGGCACCCCCCAACCCCCACCTTGAGTGAAGAGTTACAAAGGCGCCCACCCCCGTTTGCAAACCACACGTGTACAGCATTCGCATCTGATGCATTTGTATGACACACATGCCACCCGGGGAAGCCATGGCCACAGGTAAGGGCGGGAGGAAAATGCGGTGGCGGTGGTGCAGGGTGGGTGGGGAGGGTGAGGATGAAGGCGACGAGCTGCAACTGCGAGAAGCTGTCCAGATCGCACCCCACCTTGCTGCCCGGGAGAGGGGCATGAGGTTCGCGTTTCTGTGGGAACGTGCATGTCTGCACGTGTGTCCCCGTGCGCGAGTCCGTGGCTTCTCTGTGGATATCGACAAAGGTGACGCCCCCCCAGCCCATTGCGCGCTGAGGTTGGTGGACTGCACCCAGGGGGAGCGTGGGGTCCTGGGAGGAGCTGGGGTCACAGCCGGCCTGCTGCCCCTGGCCCGCCGGCCTAGGCCATGCCGGTGCCCCTCTCTGGTCCTCCGTCCCTTCTGGCCACGCAGGGTCTGACTCTGTAGCCTCCCCGTGTGACCTCGGGGTGTGCGTGGGCTTGGGGAGGGGGTGTGTGTGCCCAGCGCGTTTGTATGCATGTTACTGTGGGGGTGCGTTGTGTGTCTGTGCATGCGTGTGGGGGTGTGTTTGTGTGAGTGGGTTTTTCACAGTGGAGGGGACGCCTACGGGCCTCGGTCTGTGTGAGGCTAGTGTGAACATGTGTGGTGGGAATGTGCACGTGTGCGAGTGACTGTGAGTTTGAGAAATGATCTGTGGGTGTGTTTTGCTTAGTAGAAGTGTTTGTGAGAGTGGGGACATCCTTGTTTTGTTGTTTTTAAACTTTTTAGAAAAGATTTTATTTATTCATGAGAGAGAGAGAGAGGCAGAGACACAGGCGGAGGGAGAAGCAGGCTCCACGCAGGGAGCCCGAGGCGGGACTCGATCCCGGGACCCTGGGGTCATGCCCTGGGCCCAAGGCAGGTGCCCAAGCGCAGAGCCCGGGGGGCTCCCGACATCCTTGCTGCAGGCTGCACCCCCTGCCAGCCCTTTTCCACTTTGATCTCCTCTGGACACCCATCGCGGCTGTGCTCACCGATTGATGCCGTGTCCTCCGTCTCCCGTCTCACAAGCGGAGAGAGAACGCTTGTGAACGTTCCACATGCACTCCCCGAGTGAGCACACCAATGAACCAACTGTGTCACCTGCGTCAAGTGTCCTCTTGACACGTCTCCTTTTCTTTCCTTTTTCCTGGAAACGCGGTTAATAATCCTCAAGCACCGCCTGCTGACCGGTAGCGGCTGCCGTTGGGGAGGTGCGCGGGGTGTGGACCGTGTGCGGGCGGGGTGTGGTCCGGGTGTGGACCAGGTGAGGACCGGGTGCGGGTGGGGTGCGGGTGGGGTGAACGGTGGGGTGCGGGTGGGGTGAACGGTGGGGTGCGGGCAGGGTGCGGACCGGGTGCGTACCAGGTGAGGACCGGGTGTGGGTGGGGTGAATGGTGGGGTGCGGACGGGGTGCTGGCGGGGTATGGACCAGAGGTGGGCAGAGTGCGGACCAGGTGAGGACTGGTGTGGGTGGGGTGAGGGTGGGGTGCGGGCAGGGTGCGACCGGGTGCGTACCAGGTGAGGACCGGGTGTGGGTGGGGTGAATGGTGGGGTGCGGACGGGGTGCTGGCGGGGTATGGACCAGAGGTGGGCAGAGTGCGGACCAGGTAAGGACCGGTGTGGGCGGGGTGAGGGTGGGGTGCGGGCGGGGTGTGGGCTGGGTGCAGATCGGGTGCTGGCGGGGTGTGGATGGGGTGCAGACAGAGTGCGGAGGGCCCGGCCGGAGGGAGACGGTGCTTCGGGAGAACCAGGTGTTGCTTCCGTTCAGGGAGCAGTTCCGGTGGAGCTCTGAGCATGGAGGGCCGGACTTCAGGGAATCGGGGAGGGAGGTGAGGAGCAGGTGAGGGGGGAGGAGGGAGACGAGGGCGGCTGGAAGGGGCTGCAAGGCCTGGGGTCATCCCCACTAACTTGGTGGCGTCTGTCCACCCTCCTGGTGGGAGGGCCCAGGTTTGTGGGGCTTGGTACCCTCACTAGGTCCTCTGGGATTCCCGGCAGGGAAGACCTACCTGACCGTCGGAGGGAACGTTAACGGAAATGTCTGGAATGTGCTGTCTGACCCGGGAGCCGCTGGCCTTGCCGCTGCGGCTGTGGGGCACCCAGGTGTCACTTCTGCAAAGGAGGCCCTGACCGCCCTGCTTAAAGTTGCTGCTCCTCCTCCTCCTCCTAGGCACCCGAGTCCCTTATCTGGTTTTAATTTCTCTCTTGTCCTCATCACTCCGAATACACCAAGTGATTTACTTGTTTAAATTTATTTATTTATTTATTTATTTATTTATTTATTTATTTATTTATTTATTACTGTTGGTGTCCCCGTGAGAACGAGGGACCTCGCAGGGGGCGGGACCTTTGGGTTGGCTACTGAGGTCTCCCCGGTGCCCGGGAGAGTGCCTGGCAGGTGGCAGGTGCTCGGTCGGTGCTTCCTGAGTGATTGGATGGGCTCCTGTGCCAGGGGATTCGCCAAATGTTTTGTGAATGGGAGTGTTTGCAGGATGTGAGTGTCGAGGGGCTAGTGTTTTTGATTGTGGGGTGACTATGTTTGTGGGTTTGCTCCAAAGCGCCATCCTCTGAGGCCTGAGGGGCAGTTCTCTGATAGAGCCTTTGGGTTCTGGTATCGTCAGGGGTCTGCCAACGCTCCACGATGGCTCCCCTGGAATCTCCAGGGGCTTTTCCTGACTGGCTGCCCCCTCGGTGGCCGTGGGCCTCAGCCCCAGCCCTGCCAGCTTCCTGGGTCCGTTTCCTCTTTTTCCCGTGGGCAGACAGGGCCCCAAACTTAGGGAATGCCCTCACCTTGCAGCCAGTCTGCCCCCGGGGCTGGGGGTCGGCAGAGGGGGGAGCAGGTAGTGAAGGCCGGAGGATAGCTGTGCTGGGTGGTTGGACTCGGCATCTGGACACGCAGCTGCGAGGAGGGGCCTTCGGGTGCCCCTTGGGCAGGTGGGGATCCTGGCCATTGGGGGTTCAGGAGGCAGTGGTCAGTTCAGAGGTGTCAGGGCCGGGCAGCAGGTGGCTGGGTCCTGTGAAAGGCTGGGGAAGGGGGACCAGGGGGGTCCCGGGCTTAGGCTGTGGGCGACTCCGGAGCTTAGGATGCACAGGTGGAGATTAGCCCCGGGGGGCCAAGACGAGGACCCCACTGGTCCCAGTCTTCAGGGAGCAATGGACTTGGTGCCTCAGTCCTTTTCTTTATGTGACGGTGGTGGGCACAGAGCTGCCGGGAGGTGGGGGTGAGGCGCGGCCACTGCTGTGCAGACACCATCAGGACCCAAAGGTGCTCAACCAAGTGAACGCAGGGCCGAGGCCAGAAAAGACAAGTGGGAGAGGGCCAGGGACAAAGTCTCCCCCCTTTAGGCCAGCATTTAGGAACTATTGTGTAGTATTGAGAGCGCGGTGTTCGGAGTCCGAGCTGTGCTTCGCTCACACTCTCCAGCTGTGTGACCTTGGAAAGGTCACTTAGCCTCTCTGCACCTTAGTTCCTCGGAGGTAAGACGGAGATACTTTTTATTTCATAGTGGGATTGGAAGGATTAAGCGGTTATTAATACTGTTATTGGGATCCCTGGGTGGCGCAGCGGTTTGGCGCCTGCCTTTGGCCCAGGGCGCGATCCTGGAGACCCGGGATCGAATCCCACGTCGGGCTCCCGGTGCATGGAGCCTGCTTCTCCCTCTGCCTATGTCTCTGCCTCTCTCTCTCTCTCTCTGTGTGTGACTATCATAAATAAATAAAAATTAAAAAAAAAGCTTTAAAAAAATACTGTTATTGTTTTATGGAAACAGTTGCACAGGGGCACCTGGGTGGCTCCGTCAGGTGAGCACCTGACTCTTGATTTCGGCTCAGGTCATGATCTCAGGGTCGTGGGATCGAGCCCCGCACTGGGCTCCGTGCTCAGCAGGGAGTGTGCTGGAGATTTTTTTTTTCTCTTTCTCTTTTTCTCAAATTAATAAATCTTTAAAAAGAAACCCCAACAAACTCCACAAACAAGTGCACAGATCCGGGAAGGGAAGACTGCCTTGACAGGAGTTCACATCAAAGAGACCCAGGACTTCGGCTGACCTCGGGTTCGGGTTCGGGCCTGGTTTGGAGGATGACGCCGGTGATACCTACGGAGGAGAAGGCAGCGGTCCTTAGAGCCAGCATGGGTTCACCAGGAGCCGGCAAATCTTTCGGATTCTCGACAGCCCCATGAGGTGGGTGAGGAAAATGGGCTCGGGTGTTATTCTTCGAGCGCTGTCGTGAGCCGGGTTATGTCACACATGATCCTGCTCTTCACCTGTTGGGCCCTGGGGTGACCGTCCCCGTGTTACAGATGAGGCATGGAGGGCCCGGGAGGTCAGATGACTTTCCCAAGACTGATGGGGCTGGGATTCAAGCCTGGAAATTCCTGTCATTTCACACTGCCTCCTGAGACACGAGCTGGGGTCTCTCCGGCTCTCGAGGACCCGACGGATGGCCGTGGGGGGCCTGGAGGGGGCTCCCCTCTGGCTGAATGGCAGCCTCCGAATGTTCCTGTGGGTCTTTAGAGGCAGCTGTGGGGCTCTGCTTTCTACCCTTTTCTGACCAGTATATGCCAGGGACCCAAAAGGAGATATAAAGGGTGTTGGCCTGTAACACCCGGAGGTGATGGAACAGAGAAGAAGGATAGAGCAAAGCTGGATAGCAAAATCAGGATCCTGAAAGGTCTCAACAGTGTGGAGTGATAAGGTGGATGCTGGGGCCCATCCTGACTACTAGACAATATGAGAAAGGGATTTATTTAAGAGTTCAAGGGACAGTAAGCTCAGTATGAGTCACGAGGCTACATTAATAAAGGTATGGGTTTGGGGCAAGGGAGGGGGACCACCATCTGGGCCCAGCCAGCTTTTGCCCCCTGGGCAGTCTCTGCTGTACATACTTGAAGGTCAGGTTCTTCATCTTTTAGGGGAGTGTTGGGGAGGGGCAGTGCCCTCTGGGGTTGGACCCTTGCACTCCATCCGGAGCAGCCCTCCAAAATGACAACCCTGAAGATGGGAAGATAGCAGCAGATTTTCTGAACTTTCATTTGAGCAGCAAGTCCTGGATCTGATCTTTCTGCTCAACTAGCCTCATCTGGGGAGAGGAAACACTGGTCCCTGGATGTTCAGGCCCTGGGTGGGAGTCCGGGTTCCCTTGGCCACCGGCCAGGTGTAGTCACCGCCTCTCCAGCTCTCTCCTTCCCCTCTCAGAGCCTTATCCTGCAGGTCAGTGCTTTGCCCGGGCCTGGTGGGCCGGGTCCTTCCACACTGGAAGGTGGGCAGGAGCAGAGAGCCTTGCAAGTTGCTCATGTCGGGGCTGGATCCCTGCTCGAGCTGGGGTGTCACCTGCCAAGCTGAATTCGGCACAGGAAGCGCCTGGCTGGGAGACATACTGTTTAATTTGGAGGTTCTGTTCCACTCTGAAATGCACTTCTTCTGGCAGCTGCAGTGAAGTGAAGCTGTTGAGCTTCCCTCTCTCATGCCAGAATCACAGCCACTTTTTCCTGAGAAAGAAACAGGGCTGCAGACAGTTTTACTCATTAAATACTTCTTTTCCCTTTTAAATCTGTTTTTATAAAAAAATTTTTTTTTGCATGAACAGAAAAGTGAAACGGGTGATATTAAAATAAACAAGGCATTTGGGATAGGAAGGTTAAAGCAGATTGTTGGGGGTGGGGAAGGGGGTTGGATACGCCCCGCGTTTCTGCACACAGGCTGCTCATAGCCTGTTGCAAATGGGAGCGAGAGAAAATGTCCACGAGTCTGCCCACCTCCCAGCCCAGGGGAGCTTTTTTTCTTCTTTTTTCCTCCGAGTGTCTTGGGGAGTCCGCGAGAAAGGCGGTGGGGAAGGGCGCTGTCATGTATCGAGAGCCCACTGAGTTCGGGGCCTCCACCATGGGTGACATCATTCAGTTTCAGGGCGACCCCGGGAGGTAGGACCCATTTTATAGATAAGGAAGGTGGAGGGACAGATGGATTAAGAGCAAGCGGTCAGGCATGTACAGAACTGGGATCTGACCCTGCACGCGAGACCCGAGACTCCAGATACCATGTTGTTATCCCGAGCAGTTAGGCAGGGAGCTGGAGGTTGGAGGAGGAGGAGGAGGAGGAGGAGGAGGAGGAGGAGGAGGAGAAAGACGAGGCACTGGCCAGCCCCGAGGAGTGGGGGTCCTACCTGGCGAGACCGAGGAGCACACTGACCGCTGGGAGTGAACCAAACCCTCGCTGCTGGGTTCTGGCCAATGCAGGGGGTTTGGGGGAGGGTGTGGGGCGTGGGTGGGTTTGACGTGCTAACCAGGATGGGCTGCCTGGAGGTGCGACACCCTGGGAGCTGAATGGAGGTGATGGAATGGCCTCGTTGTCACGTGAGCAAAGACAGGGACGGTGCTAACGTAGCTTGGGTGTGAGGAGGTGGGTCGGGGTGGGGTAGTCAGGGTGGTTGGGTTGGAATCAGGGGATCAGGGTGGGGAGTGTGATGCCGAGAGGGAGCCCTGGGCTGCGATGCAGGTGCCTGGTTCTTGTCCTGGCTCTGCCTCTGCTGGCCTCCTGGGTGATCTGGGGCAAATCCCTTTCCCTCTCTGGGCCTTCGATTTTCTTTCCATAAAATGATGCACTGGAGCTGGAAAGCCCCTAAGGACCCTTTTAGGGTCCCATGAAGGGAGAGGGGGACTGTAAAATCCAGAAGGCGTAGACTGTGAGGACTTGGCATTAGAACCGTCACGAGATATTAGTCTCAAAGGCCCCCAGGAATCACCTTGTGGATCATCTTAGTTCAGTCTTAAAGAAGTTTTCGGGGTGAAGGGAGGGGAGGTGCGAGCGGGTGGGGGTGTGGGGTGAGCAAGGCCTGGACGCCGTGTAGAGGACACCGAGAAGTCTGGTGGTGTTCCAGAATCAGCACCAACATGCAGCAAAGAGGTGAGGGATCAAACGGGAGAGGGAGGTGAGACCAGACCTTGGAGGACCAAGCACTCCCCGTCCATCCTCTGGGTAGTGGGGAGCCCTGGAAGGGAGGCGAGGGATGTGAGCTCAGAGGGGCAGCTTTGACAGGTCAGGTGGGCAGCGTGGATGACGTGTTTGGCAGAAGGGGTTGGAGTGGGTACGAGCCTGGGGGCGAGGCGGGTCCGCGCGGGGGGAGAGGGTGGCGGTAGGTGGCCGGTGCCTCTGGTCAGGAGGCACCAGGACGGGAAGGGGATGCGGTTTGTTGATCGCTTGCCTGTGAGGAGCAGGGAAGGAGGGTCAGGGCCCCGGGCGCCTGGGCTGGCGGATCTCACCGAGATGAGAAACCCTGGGGTGGGATGGGTTTCTGGGGAAAGAAGGTGAATTCCGTCTTGGATATGGCGAGTTCGAAGTCAGCCTAATGGCTCCGTCATTCATTCGATCAGTCGATCACTCTCGTTCCTTCATTCATTCTTTACTGAGCGTTCACTGCGTGCCCCGCATGGACGCTGCCTTCGAGGTGCACGGCCCAGAAAGTTCTTCCTTGTGCGGATCCTCGGCCTGCTGGACTGGGGCGCCCTGGTCTTCTTCTGCCCTTCGGGACCTTGCGGGGGTCTGTCCACCTGCAGGGAGTAGAGACTGGTGGTCCTGGCTCCCCGTGTTGTCTCTGCCTGGGGGAACTTGGGGCTGTGGGCAGAACGTGGATTTAAAAAGTTGTAAGGCAGTAGATATGGGTCCCGAGTGCCTTTTCATGGGGTCTCATCTGTTGAGTGTTTTTTTTTAAAGATTTTATTTATTTATTCATAAGAAACACACAGAGAGAGACAGAGACAAAGGCAGAGGGAGAAGCAGGCTCCATGCAGGTTGCCCAATGTGGGTCTTGATCCCAGGACCCCGGGACCATGACCTGAGCCAAAGACAGATGCTCAACCACTGAGCCACCCAGGTACCCTGTTGAGTGGGTTTAATAAACCCTGTCTTATAGCAGCAGGAGTGGGAGTGGGTTCCTGTCGGCCCCGGAACCCACGAGGGCCTCGCTTCCCGAGCCTGTGGCCTGTAACATCCCCCGGGCGGCTCAAGGGTGACTGCGGTGGGGACCTGTACACCCCAGGGATGGGCCAATGCTACAAATCCAGCCTCTTCCTTCCTTCCAGCCTGCTCCTTGTAAACATTTACCAGCATCCCGCTGCTTACGGACTCATGGCGAGGATGCTGGATGTCAAGCACCTGGCACATGGTACCTGCTCGGCATACAGTAGGAGCTTCATAAGTGCGACTTTCTCCTTAGACATCCTCCTGTATGGGAAAAACTATTGCTTCATTCCCTCCGAGCAATACCTCCCCTTCAGCCAGGGACCGTTCCCTCTCTTTTCACAAGTGACACGGCTCGGGCGGAAGCTGCCCCTGGCCCCCACGGAGGGGTGGGCTCAACAGGATGGGGATTTTGGAGCCTTCTGAGTCTGGATTTGAATCTTGGCTCTGCCCCCCGCTGCTCGCTCTGTAATAACCCTGGGCGAGTTATTTAATCGCTCTGAACCTCAATTAAGTCACCTGTAAACTGAGGACGGACATGCCTCCTTCATTAAGTTGTTGTGGAGATGAAATGAGGTAATGGGTGTGTGTGGGTGCGCAGGGACCTGGCAGCGAGGCGGCAGTTTCAGTGGGAGCCCGACGGACGCCAGTCTCCTTCCCTGAGAAGTCCAGTGCGGACTGGGGGTGGGGTGGGGGTGCTGCTCTGACACTGGGGTGGGGGTGGGAGGGGGAATCAGGGTTGCAGCCTTGGGAGAGCTCTCTCCCCATGGAACATGCAGGCGGGAGAGGCCGTGGGCCGTAGACCCTCCAAATGTATTCTGAGTGCAGCGGAGGGGAACTCCCCGGGCCACGGTTCAGCTTCCAGGGCCCTCACCTGCAGATCTGCAGATAAACGCCTACCAACAGCTCGGCTCATGGGTTTCTGGGGCGGCTGTGGCAGCCCGGGCCGCACTGATTTACCACCCCAGCCCCAAGCAGATTAAATCACCCAGAGTCATTTGAATTGTACCCGGCCTTGTCACACAAATCTTAGAAACTGCTGTCTGGCAAGAAAACTTTCTCTGTACTTTTTTGGAGCAAGTCTGAGAGCTCTAGAGATTGAAGTGAAGTGGGAAGAAGGAGGTGATGCCGCGGGGGTTTCTGCATCTTGGGGTCGGGCCTGGGATGGCAGTTGGAGGAGGGAGCGTGGGGTGTGTGTACGTGTATGAGAGAGAGAGTGAGCTCATGAGCTTACTGCAGTGGCATTTGGGGCAACATCATCTCTGGCTGTGTGACATAGGGCAAGTCACTTAACCTCTCTGAGGCTCAGAGGATTGTTGTGGAGATCAAAGGGCCTACCTTGTATAGAGTGTTTTGTAGAGTTTATTAACCAATTCTGTGATTACTAATTAGGAAGAATCGACAGATGATTATATAAATAAATTCTACACGGTGGTGCTAACCATGTGTTGAGCTGAGAGTTAGGACTCTGGGAGCTAAAAGGGAGTGGGCACATTATCAGAACTCTGGGGGCTTGACTTAGGCCTTCAAGGAAGCCTGAGTGCCAGGAGAGTGACTCAGAAGGGGTTGTAGTGCAACTGAGGTTGTCAACACCTGACCTGTCTCCAGTGGTGTGTATGGCTCCGGAGAGGAGTCCTGATTGGCATTCAAGATAACTTTTCTCCCCCAGACCCATTTTTGGCACATGGGTTGGTTCTAAAGCAATCAACACACACATTTCCCTAGTCACAGGGATTGGTTTAGATTGGCCCAGTGAGATGAAGGCCAGAATTTTTGTTAGATGACTAGAGAAAGACATCCAATCTCTCTATCTGGGTTTGGATGAGGTAGCTTGTGGATTTAATTTCTGGCAGGCATCTGGTGACTGGGAACACAACCGGAGACGACTGTAAACATATGGAGGTGGGAAGAGCCTGAAACATCACAGAAAAATGTTGTCCCAGCCCTGATCAAACTGTGCCTGACGCCTGTTGCATCTCGACTGTTCTATTAAGTGAGCTGCCAACTCCACTTTATTAAACCCATTTAGATTTTAATTTTGCATTCCTTGTGACTAAAATCTGTATAAGGGATCTGGGTGGAAAGTGAGGACCTACCTGGTGTGAGGCAGCCACCAGTGAGGAGGACTTCTAGGCTGGAGCAAAGGGATGGGAGTGTGTGTTGGGCGGGGGTGGCAGGGGGCTACGGGAAGTAAGGCTGGGAGAAAGTTTGGAGTTGAATAGTGGAAGATCTCAGACACAGGTTTAGAATTTGGGCCTTCATTCTATAGGCAGTGGGGGATAATTGAAGACTTGTGAGCAGGGGAGGGCTTGGTAGAGTGCTGTGAGCCCAGTGGTATTGGGGATGGTCAACCTAAGAGTCAACCTAAGAGTGGTATCGATGGGACTGGAAGGAGGAGTTGAGGGGGCTAAGACCTAAAAATCGTCATTTACGATACTGCCCATAGTGTGTGGATTACCTCGCCTAGTCCTTACAAGACTTGCCCCCCACCCCACCTTTTTTGAGTTTCAATAATCTTGAATAACTTGACAAAATTGTATGGTTGCTAAATGACAGTCGGAACTGGAACACAGGTCATCTGACTTCAAAGCCTGTACCCTGGTTCATCCTGTTTGTGATGACACAGATGACAATTTAATAGGGGCTGGACCAGAACAGTGGTCACAGGAGTAGACAAGATACTCAGGAGACATTAGGTTGATGAAACCCTAGATATAGTCTGATTAAAGTTAGAAGCTAGACCATGGCAGCTGTTGTTATCAGTATTTTTAAAAACACTTTTCCTAAAGTGCTAGGCATTATAATTAGACAAGAAATAAAAAGGATACATATTGGAAGAGGAGAGCAAATAATCATAGTTTGCAGATGAGATGGTTATTTATCTGGAAGACCCAAGACCATTTCTTGAAAACAGTTGGAAAACATAAATTTTAGTAAAATGGCCAGTAACAAAACAATATACAAAAATGAATAGCTTTTCTATTTATAAAATGACTACCTAGAAGGTAAAATAAAAGGCCTCATCCACACCATCAAGAAGAAAATAATATCACGAAATGCCTGGAAATAAACTTTTTGAGAAACATGTAGAATTTGCATGAAGAAAACCAGAAAACCCTCCTGAGGGATAGAAAAGAGACTTGGATAAATATCCCTAGCTCTTGGGTGAAAAGATTTAATGCTGTAAGTCTGTCTGTGCTCCTTAAGGGAATGTACAAAATTAAGATAATCCAATCAATGCCTCAATAAGATTTTTTTAATTTGACAAAAATTACTATAAAGCTAACCCAGAAGAGTAAAAAAGTAGAGTAGTTAGGGAAATTCTTGAAAAAGAAAAATGATGAATATGTATTCTCTCAGATATGAAAATGTTTTACAAAGGGACAATAATTTTTTTCAAAGATTTATTTATTCATTCATGAGAGATGCAGAGAGAGAGAGAGAGAGAGAGAGAGAGAGAGAGAGGTAGAGCCACAGGCAAAGGGAGAAGCAGGCTCCATGCAGGGAGCCCGATGTGGGACTCGATCCCAGATCCTGGGATCATGACCTGAGCCAAAGGCAACTGCCCAACTTCTGAGCCACCCAGGCATCCCAAGGGACAATAATTAAAACTTCTTATGTAAGAACAGATCATTGGGACAGAATAGAGAGTCTGGAAAGGATCCAAATATTTAAGGGAATTTTGTGTATGACAAAATGGCATTTCTATCATGTTGGGAGAATATGGCTGTTTTATCAATGGTGTTGGCATGGGCCAGCCATTACAGCGCAAGCTGGTTTTCTATTTTACTCCAATAAGACCAACCATGAAGACGATGGAGTCTTTATGAATATGAATGAATACATATGAATGACTATTTTGGTCATCTTAAGGTGGGGATGTTTCTTCTAAGCATGATGGCATATCCAGAAATCATAAGAAAAGACTGATACATTTGAATATATGGAGATTAAAAATTTAAGTACCTGAAAGACCATTAAAAGAAAAGGAAGAGGAATCCCTGGGTGGTGCAGCGGTTTGGCTGCATCGAATCCCACGTCGGGCTCCCGGTGCATGGAGCCTGCTTCTCCCTCTGCCTGTGTCTCTGCCTCTCTCTCTCTCTCTCTCTCTCTGTGTGTGTGACTATCATAAATAAATAAAAAATAAAAAAAATGTTTAAAAAAAAAGAAAAGGAAGAAAGGGAAAGCATATATATGAAAGATAATTATTTACTGTGGTCTCAAATGTGCAAAGAACCCTTACCACTCATTGAGAAAAAGATAAATAGCGCATTAGAAAAATGGGCAAAAGACACGAACAGGCAATTCCCAAAGAAAATCATTACAAATGACCAGAAAGAAACCATGAAAAGATACTCATTTACTTTGACTAATAATTTAAACAATGACAGTAAAAATATGTGTCTTTTGCTGTCTGTTGATTTGAGACGACAAACAGCAAACATTGAAACCCGGGGCTGGAGAGGGTGTGGGCAGACGTGCTGGGGCACTGTGGATGGGAAGTGCATTGTTGTATGTTTGCAAAAGGGCAGAGCAGCACAATTGGAAATAGCATCCTCTTATTGCAGCAATTTCGTCTGTAGGATTTTCATCCTAAGGAGATAATTGCAGAAAATAAGCAAAGAGATATGCACATGGATATTTACCACAGTATTGTTTATGAGAGTAAAATCTTGACAACATTCTAAAGGATCAATAGAGACCCAGCTAAATAAAATATGATACATACATACAATGGAATACTATGAAGTAATTAAAATAATTTTGTAGAACTCTATTTATTGACATAGAAAGATGTCTATGACATATTGTTGAGAGAGAAAAGCAGGTGTCAGTGAGAACAGTATGTATAATACAATCCCTCGTCTATAAATTATATACATAGATCTCTGTGTGTATATATGCATAGAGATATGTCTGGAAGGCTGTTCACCAAAATGCTGGAATGGTTATATCTGGGTGGTAGGATTTTGAGTAATTTTCCCTTTCTTTTTCATACTTTTAAGTATTGGTTTGATATTTTTTTTTTATCTACTGACGATATATGAGGTGCTTCAGTCAGAAAAAAATAATACAGCTGTTTTTATTTTGGAAATTAGGTAAATATTAAATAAGAGGACTCGGCACGTGGTGGTTTAATGGATGCGGATCAAGAGTCAAGACGCCAAGCCAAGAAAGAATTTGATCCTGGAGCCTGGGAGGATTATGCATTGTGGAAAACCCAGAATGAGAGCTGATTCTGGAGGAGAGAGGAGGTGCTGGGTTTTCAGAGCTTTGGCTTGTGGCGGCCGCCTGTAGGCCACAGGGCTGCCTCTTAGGAGGCTGATCCTAAGGGCGCACGTGAGGGGCACAGGGGGCTTCTCCCAAAGACCAAGCTGTGGATGAGATCTCACAGGGAGGGAATGCATGGGCAGGAGGAGCAGGAGGAGGCTGGAGATTGGGCCCTGGAACGTGGCCACATTTATGAGATGGAAGAAGAACTGCATGAATGGTCAGGAAGGCGAAGAGCCACCAGGGGCATAGATGGTCTTGGAATTCCATGGGGTGGGGGTGAATTTCCAGAGAAAGGTCAACCATATCTAATGCTGCAAAGGCATTGACACCAGGGAGAGGGTACAGGACTTGACAAATGAGAGTCTGTTGGTGACCTTGGAGGGAGCAGTTTGGGTGGGGGAATGAGGCCATGCATGGGCATGTGTGGGAGTTGGGGTGTTTGTTCTGGGAGAAAGGAGTGTTGTAGCTTGGGGGAGTAGTTTGGAGGGAAAGGGACTGAGCTTGGTTGGGAGATGGCATTAACAGGCCTGGGGGGATCCCTGGGTGGCGCAGTGGTTTCGCGCCTGCCTTTGGCTCAGGGCGCGATCCTGGACACCCGGGATCGAGTCCCACATCGGGCTCCCGGTGCGTGGAGCTTGTGTTTCTGCCTCTCTCTCTCTCTCTCTGACTCTCGTAAATAAATAAAAATTAAAAAACAAACAAACAAACAAACAACAAAAAGAAACAGGCCTGGGTGCCACGCTGCCCACTCTCCAACACTAGCTGGCATTGCTAACCATTCTACAGAACCCAGGGAAGCTTCGATGCCTTTTTCTCAATAGCCAGTCCAGGGAACCCCTCGAGTCTACTGGACTGGGCCAGGGAGATGAGCCTCTTTTCCATGCCTGGGCTTGACCACATACTTGAAGGATGATGAGAAGGCCGGCATGGAGGGAGTGATTAAAGGTAGAGCCAGGGCTCCCTCATGCAGGTATGGACTATGGCCTTGGCCCCAAAAGACTCCCAGGTCTGGAGCTCAGGATGATTGGAGTGCTCCCTCTGTGACTCTGCGGGGACTGGATGCTAGAACAAATGTACGCTTTGCATGATGCTGTGCAACAGCCTCGACTGTGTGTGAATCCCTGGTTGGTGCTCCGATACTTTGGGGGCTCGCCATGGCCCGCCATCTTGTTGTGCAGGGAAGGCATAGCAGGGACCCATTGTCTGGAACACCTGATTGGGCGTCTACCTGTGGGCTCCAAAACACCTCTGGGCGTCTACCTGTGGGCTCCAAAAGCAGGGTCTGAGAGCAGAATGAGGAGCTGAGCCTCAGTTGTGGCTTGTTGGGGGGACTTTCAGAGGAGATGCTCAGTGGGATTCAGCTGCCCATCCTCCTGATGGTGTTTTGACCACATCAAAAATGGGGGAAATGCGGTCTTGGACAGTGAAGGTAAAGACTCTTCTGGACAGACAATTGGTGGTCAGACCTTGTCTGGAGCAATGGAGAAACAGAGGCATACGGCAGAGCTTCACTTACAGCAGAGGACCAGAGAGGGGACAGGCCCAGGCATCAGGACCAATGGAGGAGAAATGTTGAAGGAGCTCAGGCCAAGAAATTAGATATTTGCTTTTAACATGCTGGAAGCAGTGTTTCGTAAAATGTGCTCTTTAGGACCCTGGTTTCTTGAGGTCACTCTACAGAAAAGGCTTCTGTGAGCAAATAGGTGCCTGAAATGAAGCACCTTCTCAGCTCAGTTTAAGTGTGAGCACAGGAAAGGCTCAGAGAAGTCCTGCAGCAAAGAAACTGATATAGAATCTTCCCAAACTTATTTGACCACAGCAACATTTTAAATTCTGCACCCATTTCCCTTCCGCAGGACTGGTGGCTGACCTGGGACAGACAGGGCGACATGTCCACATGGTCCCAGGGACGACGCCTGGGCTGATTCAGGGATGTCGCCAAGAGGCAGAGTCTGGCTCCGTTCGAGGAAGAACTGTGCACCGATTGCTGATATTCTAACCACGAAGGAGGCAATAAAGGAGTTTCCGTCCCCGGAGGAGGCCTCGAGCAGAGGGTGGACTTGCTGAAGATGCTGCAGAAGGGAGCCAGGCTCCAGGTGGGTGTCATCCTTGATTTCTGGGGCGGAGAGGGGGTCCATGAATCCTGAGAGAGGGGCTGTGCGGCTACCCAGAGGTGGTGCTGTTCCCTTGGAGCCTGTCCCCCGGCTTGTATTGCTACGTCCTCGGCCCAAGAGTACTTGGGATGCTTGAAATGAGCAGTCTGGGAAGGTAAGATGTGAACACATAAATATCCTCATTAAGTCCCAAATACACATCCCAAACTTTACATAACCAGAGCAGCAGCTGGAGACGCCCACAGCCCTAATTGGGTTTCTGTACTAAGAGAACGTCTTCTCCCCGGCTCTGCTTATCCCATTCACGTAGGTAATTACCAGAGGGAGCCAGCTGTGGGGGACTGGTGGGCAGGTGGGCACCCACCCTCGTGGGTGCACCATGAGGATGGGGTGCCGGGGGGGCGCTGAAACCCTCTGCTCTCTTCGTGGGGGGCAGGGCCTGGGGACGGGAGGCCCAGACTGAGCTGCTGGGACAGGGCGCCTGACCCCCTGGGGACCTGACAAGCACGTTCAAGGCTGTGGAGAAGGCCTGGCGACGGGAGTGGATGGAAGGAGATGCTTCTGTTTGCCCGACGGCTCAAGGTGCCCTGTCTGAGTCCGTTGGCCAATCAGCCAACCGCGGCCCCTGCCCCCAGAGCTCAGAGCCGGGTGGAGGAAAGAGCTATGGGCAGGACAGGCTGGCATCAAGGCAGGCTGTCAGGACTGGGAGGGTGGGTGGCACGGGGAGCCCGACTCTGTCACAGAGAAAGAGGTCAGAGCAGACCTCCCGGAGTGAGAGCCAGTGGGACTGACACAGAGAGAGGAGTCACCTGCATGTGGGGTGGGGGTGTCCCTTTCTGCTAAATGGGGGCCAAGGTGACCGTGGACCTCTGGGCCCCTGCATCACCCCCACCCCCCTGCATGCCCTCCCCCAGCCTCTGGTCTCTGGTCACTGCCCAGGAGTCGCAAAGCCCCTCTCGAGACTCCTCCAAGGCAGTGCGAAGCGTGGGAGCAGGGCGGGGGGGTCGGGGTGAGCCCCTCTTCCGAGGGGTGCTGGGGGGGCTGGGGCCCCAGCGCGCTGCCCACCAGGCTTCCCGTGGGTGGCGGGTGTGACTTCTCTTCTCTCCGAGCAGCCAGCTCCGTTCCCCCAGCCCCGAGTGGCAGCTCCTCGGGCCGGAAACAATGTGCTTTCTCCACGCCTGGGAGTGGAAGTCAGCAGTTTGGCACCGTCTGGCTGGCAGCCTCCACCGGCTTCCTTTGGCACTTTATTGGCAAAGGCGGTGACATTTCTTTCAGTTGGGTGGGTGGAGCTGTTATGCAGACTCCCGCTCTCCTCATTCGCCAGATGAATATTCATGACTCAGGCAATCTGTACCAGCCAGACTTTCCTGAGGGCGGCAGCTTTTCTTCTCTTCCTCTCTCTCTTTTTCTTTCTCCTTCTCTCCTTCCCAGCTCTTTGGAAAGCTGGAGTACAGCTATATTTAATTTACAAATACGGAGCTATTTAGCTTGCCTTTTGGGGTGCAAGCCCTGGGGAGGAGATGCCGGTGGGGGGGTGGGGAGAAAGGTGGTGGAAGCACTGGGTCCCTGACCTCGGGCTTCTAGGTCCCCGGGGCCCAGATCATGGGAAGCCTTATGGGCCTGGGAAGCTCCCTTTGAGCTTGGCATTTTGGTGCCCACATGCCTGAAGATGCAGCAGCTTGTGGCACCTCGGTCCACACCGGCCGCTGAGGTCGACGAGGAAGTCGGAGGAAGCGTGCTGCTTTCCCACTCAATGCATGGCAGGCCCCAACGAGGTATCACGGGTCCCCCGAACCCCCTACCATGCTCTCCTGCTTGCTCAGCTCCACCCAGACCCCCTCCCAGCCCCAGACAAAAGCCCAGAAGGCACCAGGGCATTTACTAGTCCTTGCTTTTCAGAGAAACCAGTCCCTGCTTGGGGTCCAGTTCCCTGCGGACACACCTGCTCCCTTTCTAGGAAGGATGGCTACCTAGCTCCTTTTGTCTCCTCCCGCGGAGGCACCAGAAACTCTGGCAAAGGGCTCAGGATTTCCAGAATTTGCCAGGGAATTTGGTCCTTAGCGAGGATGTTCTCGTGTATGTCTTGTGTGTGTGTGTGTGTGTATGTAAATATTTACACACAGCTTAAGTGAGTCTGTATGCCTACATCTATGTTCAAGTGTTTGAGTGTGTGTCTGTATGTGTAAGGGCGTGAATGTGTATGTGGCGGGAAGTCTGGGAATGTCTGCATGTGTGAATGTGCCTCTCCCGTTAGAGTTGCGCGTGTATCTCTGTGGGTCTGGGGCGTTGTGTACTCCTGGGGGGCAGAGACTTGCGTGCGTGGTGTGTGTGTGTGTGTGTACATGCAAGTGAATTGTCGATGTGTGTACAAGTGTACGTGTGCATGTGAACGTCTGGGAGAGCATGCGTGTGCATGCACGCGCGCACGCGCGCGCGCACGCGTGTGTGTTGGAGAGAGGGTGTCATTCCCCCTGACCTCCGTTCCCTCCGGAACCTCATCCTCTCTAGCGAGGTGGAGGGAGACGTCCCCCCGCCCCTTGCAAGTGTTACAGATTCTATCCAAGGACGGGAACAGAAGGCTTCCCAGCACAGAGCGTCCTGAAATTACTTTATATTCCCCCCTCCTTGTTTCATCTAATCAAAATAGCAGCGTTAGGCTCACCCATTCCCTCTGCCCACCGCGTAGCCCCAGGGCAGGAGCGAGGCGGGCCATCCTGTCTGACCTCCTCTGAGAGCACCTTGCAGCCCCAAGCCAAGGAGCTGTCTTCCAAATCTCCTCGTTCCACGGCCCATGCTTCAGTGGCAAGAGCCAGCTGCCTCCCTGCCTGCCAGCAACCGCCAAGCGCTTCCAGAACCCACATCCAGGCTCAGCCTCATTTACAAATATGCAAATTTGCATCTTTTCTGGTATGCAAATGGAGACATGACAAATAGCTAATTAGGGTCAAAAGAAGCACTCTGAACCAATTAGTTGTAGGGTCGATTCCTTTCTGCTGGGAGGAGACTGGCCCCTCTTGCCGCCCTCCATCCCTGCCCGCCCCCCCCAGGCCCGCACACTCTGGCCTGGCCTGGCCTGTCTGACCAGGATGGTCAAAGAGCACCGAGATGGGAGTCGATGCTCGAACCCCAGGCCCACGGTGGCTCTTCGCTGTGTGACCCTGGATGCCCTTGCCGGAACTTCAGCGTCCCCCCTCTGTGAAATAGAGCAACGGCAGTGACCTGTCCCTAAACCTCCGGCCCAGTGTAGTAAGACCCCGGGGGCAGGGAGGGGGTGGCTGAGAAGTCAGGAGCCTTTGCAAACAGTAGGGCAATTCCTCTGATAGACACATCGCCTGTGTTCTCCCGAAGCATCCAGTCGCCCCGTCTGCCCCCTGAATTAGATGAATCAGAGGTGGCGACGGCATGGCAGCGAGTCTCCTCCCGGCTGCCAGCTCTGGCCAGTTTTGAACGTCGGCCTGCAGCGGCGCATCGAGAGGGATTTCCAAGCCAAGTCTGGATTCCCCAGAAGAGACTGTGATCGATTACTGATGTCTGCTGTGGGCAAGCGATGGGAGCCTGGCTGCTCCCCAGGTGCAGCCTTACCGACCGGCCCCTGGGTTCTTGTCCTGGCTGCTCCCTGGAGGAATCGACTTCCCCTTTTGAGCTCGCCACCTGGTCGGGATGACACAGGCGCCATCCGACCCGGGTCATCGTAGGCAAGAGGCGAGAGAAGGTGAGGCAAAACCTGCCCTTTGTCCGGGGGTGATAGGTACACTTAGGTGACACAGTTGGTGGGACAGGTACGTTGCCCCGTTTCGGGGGTGGGGAGCAGAGGTGGATGACTTGTAGTAGAGGCATCGGCCTTGCCAGGCAGGCTTGCACAGCGGCCGGGTTGCTCTTCTCTCTGCCCCTGCAGCATCTTGGCTCCCTCCCGCCACCCCTGCGTCGATGCCCCAAGCACGCTGCAACAAGCCCCGCTGGCCTGGCTCCACGGCTGGGTGTGAAATTTGGCTGAGTCGGCACCTGGGAGAATTGGGGCAATTGCCATCCTGGAGCCCGGGGCCTGGCCCGGGGCCAAAGGGCAGACTAGAGGTGGTGGGAGGGAGGGCCTGAGTGCCAGGGAGCCAAGCAAGGCTGGGCGGCTGGCAGGGGTGCGTCAGGAGAGCACCTGGCTTGAAGCTGGCCGGCCTGAGGGTGCTGAGAGCCCCAGGCCTGAGCTCGGAACAGCGCCCAGCTGTGTACGTGTGCCTGGCCATTGGCTGTGCCCGAGCACGTCCTCGAGCGTGCCCTTGCGTGTGTGCATTCACCTCCTCTGGGAACGTGTGTTCTGGTAAATGTGCGGCTGTGCATCAATATCGGTATAAGAACAGGCATGTCTGTGTAGTCGTGCACACCTGTCCATGTGTGCGTAGCCGGGTGTGTGCCTGCACATCTGCGTGGGGGTGAACTCCTCGTGTGCACACATCTGTGAGTATCCAGGTACGTGTGTCTAGGCATTTCTTTTTTTTTTTTAAGATTTTATTTATTCATGAGAGACACACAGAGAGGCAGAGACACAGGCAGAGGGAGAAGCAGGCTTTTGTGGGACTCGATCCTGGGACCCCGAGATCATGTCCTGAGCCAAAGCCAGATGCTCACCTACTGAGCCACCCAGGTGCCCCGCGTGTGTCTAGGGATTTCTGCCTGTATGCACGGGTGTCCTTTCAATCTCTGTCCCGGCGTGTGCCTCCTGGTGCGTCCACACAGGTACGTCCACACGGGTGCATGCCTGCCCACCTCTGTCGGTGTCCATGGATGTGGCTCCACGCCCTTCTGTTGGCACCGAGGCGCACATCACTGTCAGCACGTCTGTCCTCTCCAGGGCCTCTGGGCGTCTCTGGATGTTGTATCTGTTAAGTCTGCCCCGTACGTGCATTAGCGAGTGCTTCTGGGGCTGTGCCCATCGACTGGTGCATTTCTGGGGGTGCACCTCTACCTGCGAGGGTGTTGGGATCTACCTCCGCCTGCAGGCGTGGCTGTATCAAGGTGAGCATGATGGACTCTCGGATGTGGCTGCCATAGCTCCCTTTTTCTGTCTCCATCCTTCTTTCCTTTCCTCCTTCCTTCCCTTCTTGCAACTCCCTCTTGCAGAGCCTGGCCCAGGCTGCGGTGGCGGTGACAGATGAGCCTCGGAAGCCCGCTTCAGCCTCTGAAGGGGGCTCCCTACGTTCCTCTCCCACGTGGACTCGGCCCCAGAGCCCCAGAGGCTCCCGGCTTTCTAAACGCGAGCTGTCGCCTCGCCTGCTGCACGTGAGTCCTCACCCCAGAGGCAGCGAGAACCCGGGCCGCCTCCTCCTTCCCCTCGTGGCGCCCCTCCCAGCCCTCCTACCTGCTGGCGGGCAGCCTCGCCACCTGCTGGGACAGCTGCCAGCTTGGACTTCAGGGCACGTGTGCCCCTGCTCGGCGGTCTGTGTCTCGACGGTCCCTCTGCCATCTCTGGAACGTTCCTGGGATTTGACTGGGGGCTACTCTGCTCTTGCCCTGGTGAGACCGCCCTGCCCAGGTCCCCGGCTCAGTCCCGGGCCACCTCACTGGGATGTGTATCCCCGCACGGGCCGGCGGCTGTGCAGGGACGGGGTTCGGGGTCGGGGGTGGGGTGGGGGGCTTCCCTGTCTGCCCCGGGCTCCCGGGCCCTGGACCAGGACTGTGGTGGGTGGATCATTCCAGGGCCTCCGCTCTTCTCTTGCCATCATCAAATGCCTCCCCCTCCCCTTGCCATCTCTTCCCTTCCCTGATGGTTTTAAATGGAATGTCAAATAAAATAAAAAAATTGATTAAAAGTTGCAAATGGTGTGAGTGAAAATAAAAGCACGTAAGACCAACAGGTATCACATGAGCTTGACTGCACAGCGAAAGCAGGGTGAGCTGGCGTTTGAGGGCTGCGTCCTCCTGGCTGCAAGGGGACAGGGAGGAGCCCGGGCGTTGGTGGGATAAGGCCGCCTTGACGCCCTCCCCGGCTGCGTGGCCTTTTGGGACCCAAGCTTCCTTTTCTGTCCTTTTCTCCCAGGGGAACGAAGGACCTGCTTCCCAGGTGCGCTGTGCGGAAAGCGTGCCAGGGCCGGAAGCAGCGCCAGGTGGGCAGTTTTCCCCGCGCAGAACGCACCCAGCACCCACTGTCACAGCACAGGGCGGCACACCGGCGTCCTCCCCGCTCCCCGGTGGCCTGGTCCCCGCGTGGCAGCCACACTGATCCTATTAAGAGACACTCAAGTCCTAGCCCGTCGCTTGCATGCTCAGGACCTTTGCTGCTTCCCATCTCCTGGGGAGGAGAGCCGAGGTCATCACCGCAGCCTCAGGGCCCCAGTGCTCCATCTCCGCACCTGTGAGGGTCTGTTTCTTCCCTTTCACTTTCTTCCAACCACACCACCCTCCTTGCTCCCCAAATCTGCCAGCCGCGTTCCAGCCTCAGGACCTTTGCGTGTGCTATGTCCTTTGCTGCAATGCTCTCGCCCCAGACCTCCTCACGGCTCCCTTCGCCATCCCCTTCAGGTCTGTACTCAAATGTTACCTCCTCTGCGAGCAACGCCCTGCTCTTTCTTTAGTTTTATCTACGGCTCTTAGGACACCCAGGAACACCATACTAGACTTTTTTCCTATTCGTTTCCTCTGTTGCTTGCCTTCCCGAGAGAATGTAAGCTTTTTTTTTTTTTTAAAGATTTATTTATCTGAGAGCAAGCAATCGAGTGTGCGCACACACATGAGTGTGTGTTGGGGGAAGGGCAGAGGGAGAGAGAGAGAAAGAATCCCCAAGCAGACTCCCTGCTGAGCATGGAGCCCAATGCAGGGCTTGATCCCAGGACCCTGAGATCATGTCCTGAGCCGAAATCAAGAGTTGGTGGCCCAAGTGACCAGCCACCCAGGTGCCCTGAGAATGTCAGCTCTTTGAGAGCGGGGATTTTTGCCGTTGTTTCCATCACCTGGCAAATAACGGGCACTCAACACGTTTTTGCTGAATGAATGAATGAACTGCTCATCGTTGGGCCGTGTCGAGTGGCTGTCCACCAGCGCGGGCAACCAGGAGTCATCATTGTCCTGCGGCTCCGGAGGGGCCGTGGCTTCAGAATGACTCCTTAACAAGGCAGTGGGGGCTCCCCAGCCACCCCCTGCCCCGTGGTCCTTCTGCTTTGGGGGGAAGCGCCCACTGGTTCCTGATGCAGCCTGAGGGCCAAGGCTGTATCCCCTTGGGCCAGCCAGGGGGCAGGGCTCCCGGCCAGTCGCTGTCTTGTCTCCCTGCGCCACTGCTCCAAGTGCATCTAGGCCCACGGTGGCGCCTCTGGGAGGCTCATGCTCAGCTGCGGCCGAGCCTGAAGCGGGGGGCCAGCCGGGCACTGGAAGGCTGGCGGGGGGGTTGGCTACTAGAAGGGCGCGGGGTGGGCCGTCAGGCTCAGGGGGCAGTGGGCAGGAAGCTCTTGGGGTGCTCAGGAAGGCCGGTGCCGGGGTGTGGCTGGAGCAAGCCTGCTCCCCTGCTGGGAACTTTCTGAAGCCGGGGTTGAGTCCGGGCTCTCTATGCTCAGCCCTCGACAATGTCATCAAGGTCGGCTTGTCCGGGAGTCACGGAGTCACGAGTCTGGCCTTGTAGTCACCTCAGGGCACAGAAAACACACAACGGTGGAGGTCAGACCTGGGTGTGGGTCTTGGTCTAGCTCATCTTTAGAGCAGTTTCTTCAAAGAGGGCCGGCGATGGGGGTGGGGGCTCCTCCAGGGGTGGGAAACACACCCAGGCCAGCAGATCGCTCCAAACAGCACGTTCACGGCTAATTGTCTGGAGTCTGCAACAGACTTTTTTAACTTTTTTTTTTCCTCCCCCAAATGCCATGGACTTCTTTAGCTGGTGAAGCCTGTGGAACCTTCTCAAACAGTATTTTATTTTATTTTATTTTATTTATTTTATTTTATTTTTATTTTATTTTATTATTTTATTTTATTTTATTATTTTTATTTATTTTTTCGAACAGCGTTTTAAACGCACGAGATACACAGGATTACAGAGGAAACTCATTCTCCTGAACTGCAGTTCTAACCACGGACCCCAGGTTAAATGGCCAGTCTCTTTGGAGATTCTCCAGTTCTTCGAGAAGAGCATGAACCCTGGCTTCTCCCCCTGCACCCTGGGAGGGTGTGTGCATATCCCACCCCACTGTCCTGGGGCGGAGGGAGCAGCCCTATCCCCCCAGGCCCACAAGGCAGAGTCTGGACCCTTGGGGGGTAGGGGAGGGAGGCCACAGGGAAGGAGACGGTGGGGCTGCCTGGGGGAAGGAATGAGCTTCCCGCCTCTGGGGCGGTCAGCTGGAGGCCGGTCTGCCAGGGACTCTGGGGTCAGGGTGTGGTGGGTGGGTGCTGCTCGGGTGGGAGAGGATTTTTTGGTTGATCTAGCCCGAGGTCCTTTTGCAGGTGGACATAGGAGGGGTGCCGGGGGCTGGTGGGTCTTTCTCCTTTGCAGAGCCCTGACCACGCGTGCCACCCTTGGGTGAGAGGATGGGCACGGCCTGCTGGCTTCTGCTCACCGGGCCCAGGCAAGCAATCTGTACCCGGGCCGCCCCAGCCTCTCCTTAGGGTCAGTAGCTGGCCTTGGTCTTTTGAAGAGCTGGGATTCAGGCTAAGGAAACCTCTTGCTATTCTGAGTCTGCGCCCTGGGGCCGTTCGTGGGAGTGGGGGGCTCCAAAACCATACCCCCCAGCCTCCCTGCAACTGCCTAGAGTTTCAGGTCAGAGCCTAGGGTGGGGTCCCTCCTTCTTGCCTGTGTGACACTTTTGCCCTCCCCAGAGCCTCAGACAGTGTGAAGTTGCCTGGGCCAACCCCCTGTGGTGTGGAAGGAGTAACTGAGGGTGGGCCTTGGCCCGAGTTACATAGCCTCTGGGTAGCAGAGTGGGTTGTGGAACCTGGGTGCCGGACTGCCTCCCGCTGCTGAGCAGGCCAGGCCGGGGCACGAGGGGTGCAGCAGGGAGGCAGCCCTGGGTCCCTCTTGACAACCACATCATGCTTCCCACCTGAACCACTCCCGGGGTGGGGGGCTGGAGGGGAGCCGGGGACCCGTCTATTAGCTTTCTCCCGCTGTCCCCCGAGGGTGCATTTGTCTGTTTTGCATTTTTTTTTCCAGGCTGTAGTTAGACAACTCCCGGTCCTGGGGGGCAGCGCTGCAAAGAGAAAATGTCAGGGCGACATGCCGCCAAGATAACATTAGCGAAATATCAAGTCCTTTATGATGTCAGGAGGGATTCCTGCCTGCGGCCGGAGCTGCCTAATGACATCATAAAATAGGCCTGCGGCAGCCACAGCCCCCCTGAGTCATCAATCAGGCCTGTCTGCCGAGAGCCCCAGCACACGGGGCGGTGGGGGGGGTGCAGGGTTTGAAACTCAGAGGGGCCCCCAAGCAGCTGCGCGGGGCTGAGCTGAGGGGCTGAAGGCACCCACAGCCCCTAGGATGCATCAGCCCCCTGGGGGCAGGCGCGTCCCCTGCGTCCCCGGGATATCCTGGGGCTGAGCCACCCATGGGCTCCCCGGGAGGCCTCTGTCCAGGCCACAGTACTGCAGTGGTGCTGAGCGGGAGGTGCTGAGGGAGAGGAGGGGGCCTAAGCCCGGGCTTCCCATTCGCTGGTAGCATTAGGGACAGACAGGGGCCTTCTCACCTGGAGCAGTGATGGGACCACGGATGGAGACAGATGGATGGAGGAGGTCTGGGACCCTCCTGCGGCTGCTGCATGTGTCCGTCCCTCTCTCCATACCTGCGGGTGTTTACAACACGTATACCGTGCAAATGGATTATCCACGTCTGCGTTTGCCTGGGGGTGCCAGCCGACTCCCGCCTGCTTCCTCTGCGTCAGAGTCTGTCTGTCCTTACACCTCTCCGTGTGTCCACGTGCTCATGCTCATGCTCATGTGTGTCAGATGTCTGCGGGATGTGGGCAAGGAGATGCGGAAGGGGATCTGGGAGACCGAAGAGAGGAGGACCCCAGAGGGTGAGGGTGTGTGTGTGTGTGTGTGTGTGTGTGTGTGTGTGTGTGTGAAGCACTTCTTAACCACCCTTGGCTGAGAACTTCCGATTGTACTAGAATCGCCTGGGGAGATTTAAAGACCTACCCATGCCCCAGTCTCACTTCAGAGCAATTAAGCCAGGATCTCTGGAGACAAAGCTCGGGTAGTGGTATTTTTAAAGGCTCCCCAGGTGGTTCTAAAGTGCAACCCGGGTTGAGAATTGGGGTGTCGAGAGCCTTGCTATTCCAAGGATGGGGAGGTGTCCATGGACTAGCACCTGCCTCACCTGAGAGCTTCTAAAAAATGCAGACTGTCAGGCCCCTCCCAGACCTCTGAGTCCTACACTGCCTCCCCTCCACTATCTCTGTTTAATGGCATCCCCAGGTGATCTGCACATGAAAGGTTGGGGAGGGTAGAGTGGGGCTTCTCAACTAATGAAGATCTAAGAGTTTCTGATTTAGTAGGTCTGGGGTGTGGCCTGAGAATCTGCTGTTCTAGGGAGCTCCCAGGTGATGCCAATGCAGCACCCTCAAACCATCGGCTTTGCTGTCGTGTGTGAGGGAGGCAGACAGAAGGAGAGCGAGTGGGAGGTGTGTTGGGGGTATGAGGATGGG